AATTATTAAGTGGTTAACAAATTGTATTCAAAAACAAAATAAAAAGATAAATGAATAATTAGAAAATTTAAAAAGGAAATATTAACATATAAAACAATAAATTTAATGAATATATATTATTACTTTATGACGACCATAGATAAAATGTGAGACAAGAAATAAAAGAATAAAATCAAATTTAATAAATCTCATAGAAGAAACAGAGAATGGTAGTATAAATTAATTTTAAATAAATATAAAGGATAAATAACTCAACAAGATAATAAAAGAATAGAGAAAAGAAGAATAATAATAAATAAAGTAAGAATAGATAAAGAGAAAAAGAATAAGTTGATATTTCATTAAGAAAAAATAAAAAATAAAGAAATAGAGAAGAGATAGTTGAAGAAGGATGTGTAAGATAAAAATGAATAATTAATAATCAATAGAAATGACACAAACATAAATAATATTAAAATAACAATATAAAATAGCAATAGAAATATAATAGAAAGAAGAAATAAGAAATATAGGGAAAGAATAAAGAATAAAGAATAAAAGAAGTAATGATAATAGTAAAAAGAATAAGAATAGATGAAATAGACTAATAAAAAGATAAGAAAAAGAGAAAAAGATAGAAAGATAAGAATAAATAGGAGATATAAAGAAATAAAATAAAATAAAAAAGAAGAATAAAGATAGGAAAAATAAAAATGAGATAAAAGAAAAGATAAATAATAGAAATAAGGAGAAAAAGAAAAAGTTCATAAAGAGAAGTGAATAAAACAGTGAAATGAATATGTTGTAGTTCTATCATAGAGATTAATTGAATGATATGAAAAATAGAAAGAGGCAATTGGAATATATTAAGAGAGAAGAATATATAGAATAATAAAAGATATATAAATTTAATGATAAATGTTGGTAATATTTTGGTTGGGGGAAGTTGAAAAGTAATATTAATGAATTTAATTAACATAGGGAAATTTAAAGTAAGAAATAAAAGATAATAATAGAGTGAATAATTCTAGATAAATTTTA